TCTTCATTTAATGTGGTTAGTGTTTGTGAAGCCCTCTAAGACTCTAACTGTAATTACCGCTCATGTAACCAAATTTGACATTAATTGTCTCGACCTTTGTGTCATTTCCCTCCCTCCGTGCCTCTGTTCACTGTAAAAAAAAATAAAAATAAAAAGAACACAATAATGGCTGACAATCTCCCTGCATAAGCTGCCCCTGTATCTTTCAGAAAAGGCTGCACTTCAAGTTCAAACCATGGGGCTCAAGATAAGACGTAGGATCTCTCATTTCAAAATGAATGTCCACAGTAGGACACGCCACCTTAAATAAAAGCACCACTGGCACCAGAGTCTAAACTAACTGGGAGTGTAAAATCTTTTGAAATAAGAATTTTGTTTCTGTTTTATCATCATCATATTTAGCACTATGAATGTATAATTTTCTATGTCAGTATTTTAATGTATTTCACATTTTAAGGAATGCTTCTTAAGGAGTCGAAATGCTTCTTCTTTATAAACATTACACTTATTCATTTAGCTGACACTTTTATCCAAAGCGACTTACAATTGATATACATGTCAGAGGTCGCACACCTCTGGAGCAACTACAGGTTAAGTGTCTTGCTCATGAGTGGGTCAAAGTGGGGGATTGAACCTGGGTCTCTCACATTAAAGGCATAGTCTTATCCAGTGCGCCATCACCACCCCTAAACCATACTCTTCTTTTCATCAAGGCCATTTTCTGTACATTATTAACAAGGACTTACTTCATTTAAATCCAGTGTGGGTAGCAAAGCTTTGAAAGATAGGTGGAAATGCATTTTTCCATTTCATTGAATGGTGCAGCCATAAAAATGATTTCACTTAGCCTAAACATTATTATCAGTACAGAATTATGAGCTATCACAATCTGAGAAACGATCATTTTTAACAGCATAATAATGTTTTGTGTACTATTGCATTGTACTTTATGTTTTGGAATAGTAGAAACTGATCACAGTGCAGTCACTCAATTAGAATAGAAACCATTTGAGTTGTTTGACCTAAAACATTTGGCACAGCCCCTCTTCCACTCGCACATGTTTTGCTTCTCAAATATGAACTCTGCAATGAAATGCTGCCAACAAGAATAAGAGAGTGCAAGAGTTATTGTGGGACTCTTCTTTTCTTTGTACAGAGACCCAGATGCCTGTAGGGAGAATGGGTGGGCCCTGGCCAAGTCAAATACCCAAGAAACACCTCTAACACGTGCCCTGCACGGCTTCAGGAAACACTGCAGAGAGAGAAGGGGGGGTTATTATTTGAAGTTTTACAACTGTCATTTGATGATCAAATCAGAGCAGAGCAGTGTCATTTCTACACTTCAGTGAGAAGAAAAATGTGTAATTTCTGGGGATGAAGGAGGCCGTACAGCAGTCAAATCAGTGTTGATGAACAAATACAGAGTGGCGGCTTCATAGTGATTTCTTACCTTTCACCTAAAAAATGTATATGTTTTTGTACTTTGATGTTTCTTTTTATCGTTTGAATCATTTCAGGGCCCGTCAATGCCTACTGGAGGTTTTGCTTAAGGTCGATGTGCATCATGTAGCTCTGCTTATGACGTGCTGAGAGACTCACACACAAATGTTCATGTTGCTTTGGCCAAATTGTACGTTGGCTGCTGTGCCAACAAAGCACTGTCGTGTAAAAACTAGGCCAGATAAAAAAGGTTGAACTTGTGCCAACATGTTTATTTTCAACAAAAATAGACACCAATTACAGTACAAATGTTTCATCAGAGAGGGTCAGAGATCGATATAAAATAGAGTCCCATACTGTTACCAGAACAGAGACCCGAGTTGACATGAAACCACGTAACAACTGATTTACAACTTCTTTTGGACCTCCTTTTATAGCTCTGTTTCTAAGCACTACGTCATCTCTTGGCTCTCTTTCCTGCTGCACCTGGTTCTGTGGAAATTCCCAAATATTAAAGTGACTGTCATGGATTCACCAGGCTGCTGGTTAGCAGAGACATCTCCCTGACTGTACACTGCTCCACCTCTCTGTGGCCTTGGCATGGTTATTGCTCATCATGACATCTCAGCCACAACTGGCTTTGTAGAAAGTCCTGGTGAGCTGGTGTCTTCTGTGCTGTGTGCTAGAGACAGGGCATCCTTACTGTGTACTGCCTTACTGTGCTCCCTCACTCGGCTCTGTGTCTTCATCTACCTCTGCCTAACAGCACACATGTGCTTACACACAGACACACGCACAGGTCCTCCTGTTGAGTCCAGGCAGTTAGATACAGAGAGGAGCACACACATACAGACGTACAAAGCTTTAACACTGTGATCCCAAATTTAGCTGTCTATCTAGTTACCAGACATACAAGCATGCATTCATGAACACAATTAAAGCTTTGCAAATCAAAAGGACAGATTGCAAAGATCAAAACATTTTCCGATTACATAATTATGGTAAATAAATCACTTTTTGCCTAAAACTCTTTGTAATACATTTGTCACAAGTGGATGTCTTCCAGGGATTTTCCCAAAGTGGTCTTCTTCTTATCTTTTTGCTAACACTCATTTTCGTTTGTTTATACTTTCTTGTGTACTCACACACATGCCTTGTGATAATTGCACAACACCTAAGTTCTGATCTATTCACATAAAGAAAATGCTCACAAAGAGGAGAAATCATTGTCACTGATTGGAGCAAAGACTCCTGATGCATTGAGAGAGTCACTTTTTTTGGGGGGGGGGGGGGGGGCAACACAGACCTTGGACCCCCCTATGGCCCCCCTCGATTAACGAAAAGTCTACAGCAGCCCCTTGATTTGGTCTCCCCTCTGTGTCTGCAGAGCGCCTCCACACGCCTGCACGCGCGCACAGGGATCGAAATCAGCCAGCCGATCAGCGGACATTGAGACAATACGGTGGTTAGTGTATGTACATGGTGCAATAAAGACTTAGCCAGTAAAAAAGCCATTTCTTTACCAACACTCTTGTAATTAATAAGCAGAAACATGCAAAACACGATGTTTTAATCTGCTGAGTGTCTCATTCACTGCAGCTGTGTTTTGGTTTTACACAAGCACAGCGCTAGTTCAGATAATAGCCTATTGTTACATCAAGCTAAAGTGAAAGCTCTCTGTATTTAGTAACTGTTCAGCTTAGTTTGCCACTTACATTAAAATATGGCACATTATAAACTCAGCTGGTGGAAACAGCCCAACCCTCCTCTCTACCAGCAGCAGCAGAGGGAGGAGGAGGACAGGAGGGACTGAGCTGTTTATTCTTTCTAAACGTCACTCAGTATGTTGATGTCAGGAATAGGATTTATTTTAATGACATGTTAGATTTGTTTCCTATGAGATATTGGTGACTTTGCTGTTGTAAATCCTCTTTCTGCTCTAGAAACAACATTTAGTTAATAAAAAATGTTTAAAACATTTTTTTTATAATATGTGCAATTATTTAGTAATAAATAAGACTGATAAGAGCATCAAAAGGATTACCAATACAAGTGTGTCAATAAAATCCTAATGATCCCAACTTGTGAGAACATGTCTGGCGTGTCCTGGTTTTAAAATCCGGCCCAATTGAATCTGTAATTGAATAGCTCTGGTCTAGTAACATAGTAATAATCTTCCTTGCGACAAACTGAATGCAGCCTTGTAGACAATATTTTCTCCTTGTACTCCATTTTTCCATTGGATATTGCTGGAAATTGTTCAGAGTCCAGTCCTTAAAGGGTAAATTATCATCTTAACAATTTACTAATGCATTGCATTTAAACAGCACTCTTCATACACAAAAAGCGATAACAGTAGCCTACTGGTCCTACCTGGCTGGACATGCAATCTACCAAAATATGTATTCCCTTTATAATGCACAGATGATGGCCTACTATCAAGTTTCTATCTTCCAAGCAATTTCAACCTGCCATAAAACGCATCCGCCCTTTATAACGCACAGATGATGGCCTAAGTATTTAATTTTGTGTATCCTTCACATCATGACTAATAACAGGGGTGAATGTGGAGAAGTTCTGATCCTGTTACTGAAACAAATAACTGTAAGTTACTAAAACATTTCATTATATACTAAACAAGACATTTTGAAAGCCTAAACATTGCCTTTGTATCTTTTGTCCCGGATTGAATGTGTCCCTCTGACAAAACAACTGGCCCTGTGTTTATATAGTGTTTCTTAGAGCATTTATAAAAAGAGTTGCCAGTAGAGGGGTTTAAAATTGGCTTAGACTGCACTATGTAATGACTTTATCATTTAGCCAAAAACATTAAGACAGTAAATACACTATAGCATCTATATGTTTAACTGAAATTGAATTGATTGCCTTGAACTGAGTTTAGAAAGATTACATGATCGCTTGGCTGAAACTCATGCTTTTTAAGTACCATAACATGCTCAGAGACACACTCTCAGAGAAACACCAAGAGAAACCTGCCAGCTGAAAAACACATCCAGAGCACATCTGAGACAGCAAAGGAATTTAACAAAAACTGTCCAATTATATGACACAAAGTGCTGTTCTTAACTGAATAGTGAATATTGCCTGGTATGATATCTGGTTATTGTAGAAAAGAGGAATAAATACATATTGACAATGTGTAGCCTCAGTAACTGTACCATTAGACACACACAAAAGGCCGCCAATAAAGAGTTGAAGGCTGGAGTAGAGACACTGTTACAAGGGCCCCACAGCTAGACAGGGCATCAGAAAGACCTTTGTCGAATAAATCACATAAAGCAGCAGCCTTATGTGGACAAAGGTTATCAATAACTAGCAAACCTGTGAGAAACCTCAGAATTTCATATTTGTGCCCACAATATTAACACTCTGCCTATTTTATGTTTGTTAGTTTTTTTTGTTTTTTTATTTTATAAGTAATTATTTCCCATGTCCTGTCCTAATGTCAGTGCGTCTTTGCATTATTACCTTTCTTACCAGGCTTGTGTCAAATTGACAGGGAAGGCTACATATTCCTAAAGAAATGCATAATTTAATCAAATGACTACAAACAGTGTCTCTGGGGGCTTGTTTAATCCAATAATGAACACGATGATAAAAAAAAGGACCACAAATAATATCAAGCAGACCTGATTTAAAATGAACACTAATTATATTTTCTTTTTGTAATTATTTCTATTTAAATTTAAAGTTTCGTTCAGCTTGTGTTTGAACACTAATAGGAAACAGCTGTGTGCCAGGTCTCAGCGGCGGCTCAGGGAACTGCATGAAGTGGAAGGAGGAGGAGGAGAGAGGAAGTTCTTAAAAACTTTTTTTTCCCCAGAAAGGACTCTGGAGTAGCTCCGTTATATTTTCAGAGGAAGGGGATCCGACCAGATAACGGTGTGAAAAAGTTCATCCCTTCTTCTGTTTTCTCCTCACATGAGAAGAAACAGGCCCGCGTGTGTTTGCCTTTGTCCCGTGTATTTTGTTCCTTCCCAGACTGAGAGGACTTACACCATCAGAGGCGATGAGATGTGAGTGAGCTATGCCTTGTGGAAATGGACAGACTTTATCCAAGCGAAAACATGGCGTCTGCGTCCCGAGGTTTAGCTTCTTTTCCAGTCTGCTTGTGGCGCTCTGCTGCCTGGAGGCATGGGGCTCCGGGCCGCAGGGGGACGGCGGCAGGAGTTGCAGCCCCTGTCCCGTTAACTGCAGCTGCACGCTGGCGGGGCCCCAGCCGTCCTGCGTCGTCAACTGCTCCAACATCGGGCTGGAGAGGGCCCCAGCAGCGGCGGACATCCCGCTGGCCACCAACGTGCTGTAAGTACAGTGCCTATAAGCGGCCGGTGGAGGACAGGGATGCACAGAGGAGGGTACATTAACTCATTTTAACCAGGTTTTAATGGTTGGAATAACAGTTTAAACATGCTCTCATGAAAACCCCAATGGGGTAATTCTCTCACATTTCATAACATGACAAGCAAGTAATAAGTTGTTGTTTTTTTTCTTCCACTAGGCCTACATTGTTTTGGTGGGTTTTTTTGTTTTGTTTTGGTGTTTTTTTGACAAAATTAATAGATTTTTTTGTTCATCACTCCTTTTTACATCATCCATAATTGAGAGAAAGATATTTATCTTACTGTAAGTTAATTTTATCTGTGCTTTCGTTTTTGTTGTTGTCATGCCTCGAACTGAAACAGTTGGTCATTGGCTTGGTCTATTGACAGAAAATAAAACAGCTATTTATCAATAATTTGAATCACTGGTGAAGCAAAACACCGAATATTTTGCTGGTTATGGTTACTTAAATGTGCATTTACTGCTTTTCTACATTTTGTATCAGTGGAAATAAGTCATATTTGAGTTTTGGACTGTTGGACAAAGCCAGCAAACTGAATATGGCTGTGCTTGTGAAGGAGTTTTTTCACAATGTTCTGACATTAGACATACTGATTTAATCAAGACAGTAATTGACAGATTAGACAATAATACAAAGAATTGTTAGTTGCACCCCTAGTCACGCACAGGCACTCTGACAGATGTGGTGATTGGATAATGTGGCCTCCAAATCAGCACTGTATGCCAGTGTGGGATGTTAAAAACAAAAAGTAGAAAAATATAACATTTTCAAGAAAAATCTCAATATTTGGATTCACAGTAGGATGTTAATAGAAAAGCAGTAGTGACACTGCTGTGTGGATGTGTGTGTGTTTCAGTGCGTGCATGTGTGTCTCAGTTTGGTAGTCTAAATTGAGTTGGTCACCAGAGAAGTGAACCTAGTGTGTGTGCTGCAGATCAGTCTTCAACCTCTGGTGCTGCTGCCGCGAGAACATTCTGTTCTGCAGCGACCAAGACATATGTTATCAATTATTTATTTCCTCTCACGCTACCTTCTTTTATTTAACTTAAAGATTTACCCTATATACCAGGCTACATTATTTTGGAACTTGCTCACTTCAGAGACTTGATGAAATAAGCAAATGAATATTGTTTAAATTAGGTTTAGAAGCAAAGAAATCTGTGTTTCAGCTGAAATTAGTCACAACTAAAGACAGCATATTTCAAATAATATAAGTAAATAATAAAGTATTAAATCATTAACATTTCATTAACATTAACATCAATCATTTAACATTTAGTGATAGCATTTGCATAACACAAGGAGCTGCTCTAGGTGCCTTGTTAATTAGAGACAGACCCTGCAGCAGGATCTGTCTCTAATCATGTCAGACTCTATTGGAGCACTAATTGCATCAGTCTAGATAAACTTGCTTAGGCCTACTGTGCCAGCAGAAGCCATACGTGAAGGTGACCGACTGTGAACATTACTGTCCACACTAATTTGGCCCTATTGTCTGCTGCTTCCACCCTATAGGCAGAAGCATGGAGTTAAAATCTGAGATTGTGCTTTTTATTAACTCTGATTTCATGGCCAACCCTGGTAGGATAAGACATCCAGCCAAGATCCAGTGGAGAAAATAACCATGTTCATTTTATAATGCTTCAGGCATTGCTTGGTCAGTGTTACCCACTTAAAAAACCTTTTCTTACAGGGACTTGTCTGGGTAATGGCCAGACTGTCTGAGGCAGAGAGATGAGAGCAAAGGACTCAAAGATGTAATGTAGTGATTATAGTAAGATCACCACATTTTTATTGTCTTATTGTAGAATACAGTGCACCTGAGAGGAGTGTGCCCTTAGGACTTTCTGCCAGAAAGTGTTACTACTCAGTTAGGTATAGGCACCAAACTACTTGGTTAGGTTTAGGACAAATGAAAGGCAGAAACCCTTTCTGCCAGAAAGCCCTGAGGGCAAACTTCTCCCATGTGCAACTACAGTTTGCCAGTTAATCAAGGCTACCACAGATCTTAACAAGAAAAACACAGCATGTCTTTCAGTGAGTAGTGTCAAACTGATGTTTCAGGTATGAGAAAACGGAACATCATACATTAATGTTTTTATATTGTTTTATGTAAAACATTGCTCCAAGTCAATGATATTAAAGGTTTAAAGATATGGCCTAGAAAGTGCTTATTCTTTAGATTTCATCTCCACAAATATGAATAGTGAGTGGCAGATTGGACTGTTGTGGTTTCAGCCCAGTTTGTTATTGGCTCTATTTTTGAGCAGATTTGAGACCTTGGAGGAGTAAACAAACGGAGGATCTGAACTTGATTAGTTGTCAACTAACTGCTAACAGAACTGTCCTTTAAACATCAACTAGGGAGAGATGCTGTAAATGAATAGTAGGCCAACAGCAGTGCTTGCAGTAGTAGTTAGATAGTGTGTGTGTGTGTGTGTGTGTGTGTGTGTGTGTTAGGGCTGAACGATATTTAAAAAATTGTTGATCGTTTTGTTGCTGATGAGGGATGCAAGTGATGATTATTTTCAATTTTAAATGAACACCGCAACCATAGTGAATGGTTTTAATGCACTTTTATTTAATTATTTATGTACTTTTGATGAATAAACAGTATGAGGCAGTAGGTAGTGTGTGTTGTGAAGACATTGTTGCAGTGCTGTGGAACACCAAAACATTTAGTTTAAGCATGGCCAACATTAGACAGAGTTTCAGCAGAGGCAGGCGCATGTTGAGCGTTTTATTTCATCAGAAGAAATTTCAGATGCCTTTTATTTTGGTAAAATTTATAAAGTGCTAAAAAAATCCCCCAGCAAAATCAGCAACACAAAGTGACTGTCACATGTGTCTGTGAATCTCTGCTGGTTGTGTGAGAGAGGTAGAGAGTGAGAGAGAAAAGATAAGGCACAATTGATTTATTTTCTAAAGTCCCTTCCCTTTAATTTCCATGCACTCCATTGTTGTATAAAGACCACAGTAGTAGTTATTTAGCCAGAACCTGACTATTTTGACTTTAAATTTGTGTTGTTCTATATGGGGCTGAAACGATGGCCGCCGCCAGCAATCAAAAGTACTTCTTAAACGATGCATCGATGAATCGTTGAAATAATCTATGGAAGCTTCGAATACTAAAATCATCGTTAGCTGCAGCCCTAGTTCTATATTATCATAATAGTGTTAAAAGACAGAATGTTTTGTGTAATCATTGGGGATTTATTTTGAGGCTAATTACTGTCTAGTTTATTGTTCTGATTAGAAAAATCCTGAATCCTGATTATAGAAGGTTATTTCATCAAGGCTTAAAAATACTGAGACATTACTACTCCACTCTAAATTTTGCAGCATGGATTCTGGTCTTAAATATGCAAACATACTCTGTGGGCCTGGATGGGTTTCCATGCTTATTTTCTGTTTAATGCAACAAAGCTCTTGGAAACCACAAAACTGAACTCTTACACAGTTTTCCTTTCAGTAAAAAGCAACAGAGTTTCATCTGATGTATTGAAAGGATAGATAGTATTAAAAAAAAAAACTGGAGCAAGAACATGTCACCCAATAAAAAAAAAAAACCTAAAAATAAAGTGGAAGTAATGCTGTGGAAGTAATTCTCCACTCCTCTGCCCCTACCTGGCCCCAAATGAAAATGTTTTAGACACGCCCCTGGTAAACAGAATCATCCAGTGGTAGTGAAGTATTTTAGCATACTGCATACTGAGCGCAGCTGGAGAAAAGCATTCCCGTTACACACCAGTCCATCTGTTCCAACCCACACACATAATAAAAATCTCTTAGCACTTCATTTTATGCAACTCTGAAGTCTCTTCTGGGAAATGCTTGTGGAATAAACTCAGGTTTTCAAAGTCTCTATAGCCTTTGTTTAGTATGCACGTTGCTGTGACACAAATCATAATGGTTGTGTCAAGTGAATGAGAAAATAATCAGTTCACAGTGGAAGACAAGGGGCTGGTTTAACGCCGTAGATTCCAGAGTCCACAGATCAGTTTGTTGGCAATACGTAATGTAATGTATTGATTCTTTAATTAATGGTATTTCTTAATTTCCCTTTTAACGTCTTGGTCACCTCAGTCAACCGGTTATAAAGACAAATACTCTTACATACTGATGATAGCAGAGTTCTTGAATCAGCTGAGTCATTTGACCTTCATCCTGTACTTTCCACGTTAAAGTCTCTGTTCAGCTAGAAAGGAACCCAGACATCACTTTAAAATATATATATATTTTTTTTTTTTTACACTATAAGTCCAGAAGGCTTTTCATAAAGGCAGAGAGACACATGTGCTTTGCAGGTGCTGAAAAACAAACATGTCAGCATCAACATCAACAGAGGAAAGAAGCGACAAAAGACTGATTTTTACAACACAAACACAAAAGTCCGCAATATTTGTTTGGCTTAGCTCTGCTTTGTCAGGCTTGAGTCAGCCCTCATCAGTCTTTGCTGTACTCAGGTACTTTAGCTGTGCTTTGAGGAGAATGATTCTGTGCTTTTTCAGTTGATGTTTTGGGACATTCACTGTTCATTTCTCACTACCTGCAGAGCATGTTAACAAACTGTACTGCTAAAATATTAACAGTGTGACCATGCATCTGGTAAGTTAGCACACTATATATTTTTCTTTTTGAAGAAATATAGTAAGAAGAGTTACACCACTATGTTAATGTAAACTTAATTCATAATTCAAATTAAAATTCCACAATATAAGTCCACTATATAAACAATATAAAACTATCAAAATAAATAAACATCAAGTGTATAATAATAATAATAATAATAATAATACATGTCTAGTTGAAAGTGGAGCGATATTAAATTCTAAAGACAATAATAACTAATAATGTTAATATTTGCAAAATGCATTGTCATCATTAATGTTACTACCAGTTCACCTGCAAGTCAAAAAGTGTGATGCTAAATACGTGAAATGGAAAATAGCTAGTGGGA